TCCAGCTCCAGGCCTCTCTGACGCCTCTCTAAACACATAACCCCTATTTTTAGTGCTGGGCTGTCATTTTGGATGCACTGCTATTGCAAAAATTTACCAGCAGCTGCAACCAAAATCCTGACTTAAAGGCCCTATTTCTAATAGAGACAAGGCCTATTTACCAGATAACTGCTCGGGTGGATGGGCTGCCTCAGTTTTGTCAAGAAGTCAGTCCTGTGTCTGTTCCTTCCTGTGGAGTCCCACACACACACTGGGCCTGCCTCTGTCTGCAATGCATGTGTGTTTGTGCATGTGCATGTGCATACCTGTGTGTGCCCACACATCTGTCCTCTGGTTCTTCTCTTCTAGTCAGTTATAGCCAGAGACGGGACAGGGGGACGTCACACAGAAGCACAGCCTGGGTGACAGTTCAACATCCAGGATCTTCCATCCCATGAACCACTCACAGGAATTGTATTCATTCACATCAATCCAAAACTGCACAGTATAGAAGAAAAGTTTTTTCCTTACCAGTCATAGTTCCTACTTGAGGATGGACTATTGTTACCAAAGACAGACTAACAGGAGGAAAATAAACCTGGATGTGTTGGTGCGTGCCTATGACCCCAGCACTGGGAAACAGAGGCAGGAGGATTGCAAATCCTGGGGAACTTAGTGAGACCTTGTCTTAAAGTGAAAAATAAAAAGAACTAGAGGTGTAGCTCAATGGGAAGACCCTGGATTATTCCCCAAAACTACAAAAACAAAATCAAAGAAACAAAAAAACAGAAGTTTATTAACATAGGAAGAAGGTCTGGTGTTCATGGGAGGATAATGAGTATTTCTGAGAAAGGAGACTTAGAATTTCAGGCTTCAGTACCACAGTTTCCTGAAAACCAGATGCAGATGCAGGAATGAGGCTATGGAGAGGCACCTGGGCTGAGCACCCAAGGCAAGGGCAAGGTCTTCTTGGCACTGTCCAGTAACACCTTGGGACGGGAGTCTCTGGTGATGGCTTCTACTCTTCCTGGACAGAGATATCCTTGCAAAGGGGCAGTTCCTATAGAAATGGAAATTTCTCTTACAGAAGGACAGCGTCTTCTGTGTCTGCAGCTTCTCAAAATAATCAGTGCAAAATAACTCTTCAGGCAGGGAGGCGGATTTTGTGATGAAGTAGTCCCTGAGCCCCTTGTTATTAGGAATTATTAACATTACCACCATGGCAGAAACAGATGGAAACAAGGATTCCCTGCAGCAGACACCAGGACTGTTTGACTTAGATGCTTGTTCACCTCGGATACTGGTTTTGCATGTAGGAGTTCTGCGAGTTCCCACATTAGGCACATGATAGGAGAAGATGACATTATGCAAAAGGCCCTGTGACAAGTTTCTGTAGTCAGGTTAATGTGCTAGGTAGCCTCGGGGTGTTAAAGCTTAGTAACCACAGATAGGATGGAGGGTATTGTGTTTAATTTTGAAATAGTTAAGGTACATTTAAAGAGTGAAATTAGAATTAAACTAGTGCTGAATCTTTGGACTCGTCATAAATCTAATCTGGTTCACTCCTATAGTTATACAGAGGAGAAAACTGAAGCCCAGAGACCTTGCGGATTTGTCAGGGTCGGACTAGGTAGATGGGACTAGAACCACATTTGCAGGACTCCTGTCTTATGTTATGTCCATGACCTCCAGATTCTGGATCTGAGGAGTCCCCTTGGGGTCTGGGACCTTGGTGTATAGTCCTCCTGCTATATACACATCTTGTTGCTAGCTATGGCTTCTCATGGGGACCATGGCTGGTTTACCAGTTAGCACTTTAGCAAGCCAATGCATGAGGTAGTGATCCCCCAGAGAGACTGAGGAGAACACAGAATTTGCTATGCCTTGTCTCTTTGGACGTTGAAACATCTTGACAGCCAGCAGATGCTGGCCTCTCTGATGCCCTCCCCTGCCCCTCAGTGTTATCTCTTACAAAGGCAGATCAAGAGGCTGGAGGTCAAGAGTCAGGACAGAGCCCTTCGAGCCTGACTTTCTGAGGAGTGGTGCTGACCTGCAGGCCCCATGCGTGGGATGGGGTGAGCAGAAGCAGGGAGGCCCATGGACTAGCTCTCTCTCCTGAACTGCCTGGGAACCCTTCCAGGGGCAGTCTGACAAGGAGGGGTAGTGCCCTCGCCACTGTGGCCTGTACCTGTGATGCAGGGAGGCTGAAGGCCAGAGGCAAAGGGAAAGCTGACTTGTGCTGGGGAAGGGTGGAGGGGTTGTGCTTTCTCTGTCACCTTCCTATTTATATTCATGTCCCAGGTCCCTGGGACCAGTTCTGCCCAGCACACTGGCTCCTTCCTGTGAGTCCCATCTTTCTCTCCGGAGGAGCAGGCCCCTGGGTTGGGAATGGGGCTCAAGTGACATCAGGCAGGTGTGATGGGAAGTGTCTGGCTGCACTGCAGTATGACCTAGAGGACAGTTCATAGGGACTGTTCCCTGGAGGAGCTGCTTTTTATCCCAAGATATCAGGTCCAGCTGTCAGATCTGCACCTTGTGTATGTGGCTCCTGGGACCAGCATACCGATGGGAGGCTGCAGTAGATTGACCATAGGAGAATGCTAATTAGGAGCCAACCCCCAACTCCCCCAGCCTTATGGTAGGCACAGCTAGAGGAGACACCGGCCATCTATCCTGAGAGGGGTCTGAAGAGGACAGATGGACTTAGAGTACATGAGGAAGCTAGCCTGTCTTACCCCTTGGCTCCTGTGATCATAACTTCCACATCCCCAGCTGTGCCGAGAGCTTAGGAGACTGGGCCCAGTCCCACTCCCTCCAGAAGGAGGCTCTTAAAGTCCTCTCTTCTGTTGCAGTGCTTTTTTTTTTTTTTTTTTTTTTTTTTTTTTTATGTGTT